GACCTTAGAACTGAAGAAGCTTCTCGGATGAGAGGTGAAACGTCTTCAAGCAACTTAAAGAAGTCCAGACGCTTTTCTTTGCAAGCTCCTTTGATTTAGTGGCATGTATAGCATTTTCTGACATACCATTTCATCAGCTCTTGTAGTACGTAGCAATTGATTTTCTGTTTACTTTCAGGCTGTTTAAGATTGCAGGTCTTACTGATGTTCCTGACGGGAGGTGCTGATGCAGTTAGTCTCACCCCTAAGTCAGGAATGATGGATATGTAGCTTCAAGGACAATCCTTTGCCTGCAGCTGTGTTGCCCCTCATATTAAAATCTGGATTTGGTTTTCTGTATTACTGGTCTGTGAAAGAGGAAAGAAAGAACTTATTGATGTGATTTCCTTTTATCATTTCTGCAAAACCTTGAAAGGCAATACTGACAAGGAGGAGGAATGTTGACCAGCTGCTGTGGATTATTGAGCATATTTGTCAGTTGCTTTTGGCCCTTTTTTTGACACACAAACATTGCATGACTAGATTAGAACAGGGAGGTGGCTGCCAGACAGGAATTGTGAGATAACTTTGTTTATTTTTCCAAATTAGTCCGTAACTGAACCTCTGAGCTTTTTTCTTTTTTTTTTTATTTTTATAAATATAAAGTGGTCACTCTAACTGGCAGCTCAGGAAAACTGGTACTACTTTTAACCACGTTTTCCTTTTAAAACATAAAGTGGTTCTGTGTTATATGACTTTATTGTGGTCAATAATGTTTTCAATTGGATGAGAAATGAGACCAAAATAACCCCACATTAATTGTTTCTGTATATCTAAAAAAAATTCTGTTATTACTATTTCTCTTCCCAGGTTAATAGCATGCGGCGCCGTGATGCGACCCTATGTGGAGGCCAACATATCCCACAAGTCCCACACCACCATTAAATACTTCTTGAAAATGTGGAGCAGTGTCAGTGAGACTCTAATCTTTATTTTTCTGGGAGTGGCCACGGTTGCTGGACCTCACGATTGGAACTGGACCTTCGTTACTGTCACAGTCATTCTGTGTCTTGTTGCACGGGTTATAGGTCAGTCCTGCTTCTGTATTTTTGCACGACTTCTTCAAATATATGCATGAAAGCAAATTTCAAGTGTGACATAGTGTATGCAACAGAGGAATATATTTGTTATATTACTAGCATTCAAGGTTAGTTTGCTTTTTGTTTTCTTTGGCAAAGGAGGTGATTGGGTTACATTGTGATTCTCATTCTTAATAAAAGAACTGGGATTAAGTGTTTCCATCATGTGTTATTACACAGCTGTTGGTGGAATTGCCCCTGAGGATTTCTCCACTGAGTTGTCACAAGTTCTTCTTGTTATTGATTTGTCATACTCTCTGTGCCTGTCTGTCTATCTATCTATATATATATCTATATATATATCTATATATATATATATCTATATATATATATATATAGAGTAAATGCTGAGCATTATAACACCTTTCTGCTGACAATGAGTAGACTACCGTATATGCATTCATGTCAGGTAAAGCTGCTCCTGCATATACATGTGTATTGTCTGTGTTTGAAGGACACTGAAGGACACGCTGCCTTAGCTACAAGCTTTCCTTTTTTTTGCCCCCTTGAAGCCTTTGTACTCTTTTCATTCATGTGCTAATGTATGGTCGCCTATTGACAGCCGATAAAATTTAACGCTGCACGACAGCAGGAAATTTACCAACTTGGGAGACACTTTAGAATACAGACGCTGGCGTTTTGTTCAGTTCTGTTTTTTTAAACAGGCTGCCATTTTCTCCAAATATAAATGATGGCAGAGAAGAAACGCACAAACTGACTGATAGAGCAGCATTTAAATCAAATTAATTTTTATATTTTGCTGATAGAAGAATCTCTACAGGGAGAAGAAAAAAAAAAAAGCCTTTTTCCCCAATAACCTAAACAGCAGAATTAAACTCCCGAGTCCTTAACTGGGTGTTTTCCAGCCCCTGGAGGTGTAAACAGACACACACTTGAGAAGAAGAGGAGGAGAGAAGATTGTGAAGAGACTAAGAGATTATTCAGGGGATCGAAATGGTGAGGACACAAACTCTCCCGCGTGTCAGTGGTTTGGTTTCCTGTTGGATATTTATGACTTGACACACTTTAAAACGATGCTGAACACATAAAAACCAGCACCAAAAAATAAATAAATAAATAAAAATAAAAATCACAACTCATATTGTGGTCAACTTAGGCACACAACTCTCAGTGTGACCTCCCACTTATATTCCACTTAAGAGGGGCAACCAATCAGAAGAAAGTTGGGCGTGGAGAAGAGCAAAGACGCTTGTTTCAAAAGAGGATGAACAGAGTGGGCTCCACTGAGGCTCAGTATAAAGGAAATAATGATTATTTGGAAGCATAAATCCTGCACAGCTCGAGTCCAAGAACAAAAAGCATTGTGCTGAAAACTAACGCAGCGAGTCAGTGTTAACACAGTGATATACAACTGCCAACTTACATTGCCTCCATTCTTCATCATGGCCTTCAAGGATTGAGCAGCACTCTGAGGGGAGAAAGGAAAAGGACTCCATGGCTCATTGCAATAAAATGTCAGGTTTCAAACAAAACAGTACAGGATACAATAATCACATGACTTATGGGTCCGTTATTCCTGCAATTCTCGACCTCGCAAATGGTGCCACACAGCAGGAGTGACGTCATATTTACTGGCTGCATTTTTGGTGTTATTTTGGCCTATTGCGCGCCTCTCACTCGTTGTAGCCTTGCACGAGTTGAAGAAACTTCCGTCTTGACTTCTTCTCCTGCTACACGAGCACACATGTGGTGGTTTGGTCTGAGTGGCGACACCCATCACTCAGAGTAATGCAAAGAGTACTCGCGCCCTCAGTGTTGGTATAAATGGCACAGACCTGAGGTCTGATTGTGCCCAACAAAACCAATACTGAGTGTAACCGACCTCTATGAAAAACACAATGCTGGATATGACCACACCAAGTATGGATTGCTGGTCCAGCTCAGTGGTAACTCATATTTCTGAGAAAAATCTCAGAATGACAGATCACGACAATATTACGCAAGAATCAGTAAGAGTTTTGCCAAACTGACCATCAGTGCTTAAAGATTTTACACAAAATAAAACCAATCTGATAGAAACACCCAGCTTTACCATGTTTGACTGCATCCTCATGTCACAGGCCTGGTGCCGAGCATTCTGGACAGCCTCGGGTCGGTCTCTTCTCCCCAGGGCATGAGGGGCAAACTGACCCGTGGTCAGGTAGGCCGGACCCTGCTGCTCCGCCTGCAGAAACATGGACAGAATATCTCAACTCAAGCCCATAACTGTAAGAATGCAACTATGAGAACTCAAAAATAAAACAGCATGTGTAGTTTCAAATAGTTTTAGGGAACATCAGGATGAGTGGAAATGCTAAGAGCAGCAGGCTCTTGATGACTGATCAGAAACGTGGCATGCCATAAGTAAAATAGAAACACTGTCACACTTTGACTTCTACTCTAGGCTTTGTTTTTGGGTGAAGTCGAATCACACCGATTAATCAGCTTCATTTTAATTGCATGCTGTGTTTATAGCTTTATAGTGTCTTTAGTAACCATGAAAATGAGACTGATATAAACTTCTCCATCTGAGTTCAACTCAAACTAGAAAAGTATTTTTAAGTGATATCTGCTGATTAGGCAGAAAATGACACATTAGGTTTTCTGCACCTTCGGAGGTGACTCTGCATTGAAAATAAAGGCTAAACTTTAGCAGCAGAAACACCAGAAAAGTTTACTTGATGGCACAACAAAGATCCTATATAGTAAATTTAAACTATAAAGCCAAAATATCAGCATCATTTTCATCATACTCACTTTCATTCTTTTTCTTTTCTCTTTGTTTCTTCTCTTAAAGTTTTCCTAAAGAAAGAAGATGACATCGTGAACGATAAAATAAATTCATAAAGAGCAGAAATACTCGAACATTTCCTCGTCTTCATCTCAGGTCTAAAAGACTAAATCTGAGGAGAGAAAGTTGTGAAAATCACCTCATCCTCTTTGCGTTTCTTGAAGATGTTGTCCTCAGCAACGCCCACAGCCTGCATGATCATCTCAACTCGCTCCAGGTTGACGTATCCGTTCTGTGTCAGGTAGCCCTGCAGAAGCACGTATGCACAGGGTGACTCTACACATTAAGTGCAATTGTTCAAAAACAATGATACCTATATCTATATATAACAATGATATCATTTTTCTTCCAGCGTTGGTTAAAACATTTGAAAAAAAAAAAAACCCCAAACAAATAGAAAAACCCTGGATACTGCTGCCTGCAGAGCTCAGATAAATGATGACACTCACTCCAGTTTTGTGAACAACATCTTTGTAGATCCTGACCAGTCGATCTATCGCTCCCTCTCTGGGGGAAACAAACAAAACCATGAACCACAGATGCAAACAAACTCCTCAACTTTTATTTCATTAATAGGGATGGAAGACTGAACATACAAATCTCAAATCTTTTTTTATACAACAGAAAGAAAAAAAAAACACCTTCTGTATATTGCACAAACAAATAACAGCACAAAAAGCTTGAAAACTATACGAGTATGAAAAACACAATAAAGAAAATAATAATAGCGTTACAGTGGATACAGCACTTAATATAACATTTCTGACAGTTGATTAGCTATGAGATGAACTTGTGGCTTTGTAATTAGAGCCAATAAGAAAAAAATAAATACATAAATACTCTCTCCAGGACATTTGTTAAATGTAATTATATTCATTTTAATTGTTTACATTTATATATTTAAATTTATTAAATTATTATTATTAAATGTAATTATTATTACATTTTTATTTATTTCACCAAATCTATTATTTAAATCACTTGATTTTTTATATTTATTTGAAATGTTTTATTTATTTATTTATTAAGTGAAAAAACATGGATGGATTCTAATAAGCTCAGGAATAAATACATAAAAATCTATTCACCCGAGTAAAGTCTGGGAGGAGACAGAAATGCCTTTTTGGGGTAGAGTCAGAAAGGACAGATTTAAAAAAAATAAATAAATAAATAAATAGAAAAGCTACCTGCTGTGGCCTTGTCCCATGAATAACAAATGAAAAGTAGTTTTACTCCTCAAACATGTGCATTTTACTTTGTTTTCTTTCATTTTCTTCATTTTGGGGTCTTTTTATATTTATGTGTTTTGTTTCATTTGAGTTTTGTTCATTATGTTTCTTTTTTGGACATTTTTTTGTTGTTGGTGTTTTTTCCCCCATTTTTCTGTGAATTTGTGGCTTATTTGTAACCCAATCATTAAATATTACCCTACTGTTTTCTCTGACTCCCCTTTTTACATCATGGTGAGTAACTGTATGTACATTCTGGGTATTATTAAAGTAAACTTATGACAGCGCTTCATAATAAGTTCTTGAATAACCTTTCACTGCAGACACCCCTGTTACCACTTCCTGAATTGACACCACATTTAAACAGCGTGTTTCAGACTGATAGTCCCTGATGAAAGAACTGTATAAAGCAGTTTTAGGACGATGAACTGATGCTCACCTGATTTCTAAGGACGGAAGATGTGGTAGGAAGTCATTTCCAACAAAGAAACACATAAAGACCCAGTCATCTACACTCCTCTCAAAGTCGAAGGGAAAAGGCAGACTGGCCATGGTCAGCTCTCTGGCCAGGTACTAAAGAAAACATGAGAATTAATGGAGATGATTGAGAAGGTCATTTTATCATTGAAGCAACACTTCAGCTCCTGCTTTCATGTTCAAATGCTGTCCATAACAGATAGAGGCAGAACATTCCTCTGCAGTCTGTCTTTGATTACTTCTGAGAAAAAAAGAAAAGCTGATGATTCAAAGGAAATGTTCAAGGTAAGGCTGAAATCTTACAGCGAAGCTGACCTGAACACTGAACAGAATATATTAAACACATGTAACGAACTCTCAAAACATTATTTCATATTCTTACTCTTCCTCAAAATAGTTTCAGAGGTGCCCGAGGTTAGGAACCATCATTTTAAGCACCACAAAGGCAACCCACTGCGTTTTATTTCTGTAAAACTCATTGAACCCTTCCAGTTGGATTGCACAAATTTGATCGTTCTTGATCGATTTCATGTTTGTGAACAAAAGGTGAGATTTTGACCCTAAAATAAACAACTAAAAAGAAAGAAAGCTGATCGAAGTGAGTTTGAGTGACTGACCTCCCGCAGAACACACAGTCTGATGAATATGAACTCCTGCTCAGCCGACGGCATCGTGTTTGCAAACTCATCATGCTGTAAAACAGACATAGGTTCAGTCCGCTGACAGAGTGTATACTGCGCACTTTAAATGGCAAATGTCAGCAATGGGCCATCAAACATCAATTATTTTTCAGCAGTATTTTTTGAGCCAGAATTGACCATATTTAGACAAGAGGTGGAGTCCTAAGTTATTATGTAACACTTGCTGGCTTGGTTAGAAAGCTCCACCCGTAAACTGTGCAGGCGTAACAAAGATACAGAAACATGGTAATTGCATAATAACAGATTGATAAAATGTTAAAACTTCATTCAGCAAAACCAAACCACAAACTTCTAGGTCAGTGCGATAGTACAACTATCAGGTAATTTTCCTAAAATGCTCCAAAAAGCACCACAAACATGGTTGAGAGGTGGTTCCAGTTAAAATTCCTGTAGGACAACAAACATGGCCCATTTAAACAGCTCCTACACTGAAAAAAAATTCACAGCTCATTTTGCAATGTGCACAAACAAATGTTCCAGTCAAAGACTTTCACTCAAATCGTGGATCTTCAAACTACGCTTTAAAGCTTTGTTTTTTCAGACAGCAGTGCTAACAGGGACGTAAACTTCAGAGTCATGTTCCTCACCTGCCCCTGCTTCTCTCTGGGCATCCCCTGACAGTCCTTGATCTCGTGGCCAGTCTGTCCGCAGAGACCGCAAGGTCGCGGTTTGTTGGGTTTAAACTCCTCTCTGATGATCGTGAAGTTTGGCTCGTGAGTGGCCAGGCCCAGCATGATCAGGTCAGCTGACATGCAACGAAAACACATGGTCAAACTACTTGGTTAAAATATAAATTAGTCATTCAGACAGCAACACAAGATCTCTTGAATATGCTGGGTCAGAGGAGGTAAATGGCTTCTATTAAGAGCACTTATCCTGACTTTAAGAGGGCGGATCTGAAGGCTTACCGTCAGCTCCACACAGGCAGTGATGCGTGTTGGGGTCATGGTTGGGCTGAGCTGCAAGAGTCGACCATAAACATCGAGTCAACAGAAGATCAGACAGAGTGTGTGTGTGTGTGTGTGTGTGTGTGGGGGGGTGTGTGTGTGTGTGTGTGTGTGTGTGTGTGTGTGTGTACATTTATGCATGAGTGCTACGCAACCACAGTAGACACCACTTCCTGTTG